ATGAAAACAACACTGAGAGTAGAATCAAACTTGGAGATCACTTTGTAACTAGACAGCAGAAGGGTTCCCAGAGACAATCTCAAGTACAAACTATGTGCTCGTCTTAAGCTTTTTCATGCTGGTTATAGCATAAAGTTGAGATGCATCCCATATACTTTAAATCCTTCAACTCCACTATTTGTTATATGTTCGAGAATGGTTTGAGATAGTTAATTTATTTTATTTCATTATATTCTAGATTCATTGATTGAGGAAGGGAAATGCAAGTTGCTGAGTAGATGACTTTGTTGAATGACATTCAAGGTAGAAGATCTATCGCTGTGATTATGTCCCTGAGCACTGAGATTTTGTGTTCCTGGGGCAGGAGTAAATCTTTCCGGGGGGAATGGCTCCTCCCTTCATCCTCCTAATCCCCATATTATGCTCAGCCAAAAGAGCTCCAAGTCAAAGGGAACAAGACCCTTTAAAAGAAAACTCAGTTAAAGCCACCTTATTTGTTTAATTAGTTCTGATCTGCCTTAAACGTTCTATCACACAGTTTTTATTAGTTTCTAAATGTCTTTTAAATTTAGTTTTGCAATAAGTCTGGCATGTACTTATATAATGTGAGGTAGAGTTCTAACAAAATATTTTTCTTCCTAGGGAGCTAGTTTTGAACATTATCAACTAAATAATCTGTCATTCCCCCAGTGAATTTTAGTGCCATCCCTATACTAAGTTCCAGTATGTGTCTCTGTACTTCCTCACTGATTCATTCATCTATTAATTCATAGGACCATTCTGTTATAATTATCCAATCTGATTGTAGCATGTCTAATTTGGTAAAGGAAATTTATTTCTGCCCTTATTATTAAAATTGACTTAGCTTTTTGTCATACGTATTTTAAATAAGTTTGCCATAAATTCCAGCTCCAATCTTGAGTAGTTATACATTAAATTATAAATTAATTTGAATATTATATCAAGAAATCTCATATAAGAATAGAAAATGTCTCCATTTATTCTGATCTTGTGTGTCTTTGCAGAGAGTTTTAACATTTCCTTTATTAGGTAATGTGTATTTTTAATTAATTCCTAGATACTTTCAATTTTTTTTGCTATTGTTTTTGGAAACTCATTGATTATTGCTAATATAAGAATATACTAGTGAATATTTAAGTTGATTTTGTATTTGGAAAATTTGCTATACTCTCATACTAGTCATAATATATTTTCAATTATATATTTTTTCAATTGGAATATATATATGTATTTATCATTATTTTTATTACTTGTTATATTTTTTCCTTTTCACCATATATCGTTTACTTATAATTTTCTTTACAGTACTTTTGCAAAATCAGTTTTTCAATAAGTCTGATTAACTTTTCTCAATAATGTAGCTTTCAGTTTTGTCAACATTATGAATTTTTGTTGTTGTTGTTACTCTCTGCCATTTTCTGCCTCATTTCTATAATAGCTTTCCTTTTCAAGTTTTTTGGTTTTGTATCATTTCTCCTTTTCAAACACCTTGACTTTTTGTATTTAAATAGAATTGACCCTTGAACAACATGGGAATTAGGGGCGCCGACCACTCTTGCAGACAAAAAAATTTGAGTGTAACATTTGACTATCCAGAAACTTAACAACCAATACTCTACTGTTGACTGGAAGCCTTACCAATAACATAAAGCCAATTAACATATATTTCATATGTTATACATATTATATACTCTATTCCTACCAGAAAGTCAGCTAAAGGAAAGAAAATGTTAAGAAAATCACAAGTAAGAGAAAATATATATACTGTTCATTAAGTGGAAGTTGATCATCATAAAGGTCTTTATCTTCATCATCTTCAGATTGAGTAAGCTAAAGGGGAGGAAGAAGAGAAGGGGTTGATCTTGCTGTTCCAGAGCTGGCAGAGGCAAAAGAGGTGGAGAAGGTGAAACGGGAGGCAAATTACACTGGGTATAACTTTTATTGAAAAAGTATCTACAAGTTGACCAGTGCAATTCAAACCTGTGTTGTCAAAGGTCAAGTGTATTTCTGTTTACTAATATAAGGGTTTTTCAACCTCGACACTATTGACATTTTGAGCTGTATAATTCTTTACTTTGTATTTGAGGTGTTGTCCTATGCAGTGAGGGTATTTAGCAGCATTCCCAACTTTACCTACTACTTAGAAGAAAAAAAACCAAAAAACCTACTTTAGTCATGACAATCAAGCAGACATTGTCAAATGTCCTTCGGGAAGAAGCAAAATTCTTCTCTGTTGAGAATCCCTGGAAATTGACCGAAGCATATAAAAAATGAGAAATATTTAGAAAAAACTATTGAGCCTCAGATAAGAACTCTCTAGTGATGTTTCAGTCTTGGGCTGCTTCCTTAGCCTTCAGGTCCCTGGGTGCTGTAGTCCTTATTGTGGAATAAGCTAAGAAAACAAGTAGCTTCATTATGAGTGGAGCTGACTTGATTTGAAATGGAAGCCAGAAAATCTCTATGGCCTAGAACATTGTTTTACAGCTTACACTTACAGTAGTGATATCTGTGGCAAATGAACAGGGAGAGCCAATGTTATAGCTAGCTTGAGTTTGTGAAACTGACTCTAGGGCAAGCAATTAACTAGCAGATTGGCCAGAAATTTAACAAAAGATCTTGGAATAAAACTTTCATATGGGCTGTGATAAACTTCTATATATTCCTGGCTGTCTGAAAATCTGTATGGATTTGCAAGGCTACACAAATGCTCAGAAGAGACATAAGAGGATCCTAGTTACTTACACATCCTTGGTTAAATGAGAGGTTTTGTACTTGAGCAGAAGAGAAAAAGGAAATGGCAGATTATGTAAAAGCTGAAGGTGATTTCTAATTGCCTGAACTTTGAATACATTCTTCAATGAACACATGGATGTGATGACAAAGAAAAGAAGACTTACTGGCTCGAAGTGTTTGAGTACAATCTCTAGACAACCATTTTGACACAGTGGTGACCTCTAGCAAAGCAATATACACCATAAGAAAGAAAGGCTCCACAGGCAAGTCACTAAATAGACAAACATAGGAACAATAATAACCACTGTGGGCAAATAAAAATCCAGGGAATTAAAAATATAAACAATTTTCAGTTTTCAACAAAACACAAGGATATATGCAAAAGAATGGGAAAATGTGTCACACATTTAGGAAAATAACAAGCAAACAAGCAAGGTCTCTGATGGGGCACAGATGTTTGACTTCACAGATAAATACTTCAAAACATATATTATAAATATGTCAAAAGAATTAAAAGAAACACCATTTAAAGAATAAAGTATAGCAACAATGACTCTCCAAATAGAAAACGTTAATGAAAGATACAAAATTATAAACAAAAGAACCAAGTAGAAATTCAGGAGTTAAAAAGTCTAGTAACCAAAACAAACAAAGAATTCTAAGAGACTTAAGAGATTGGCATCATTAATATCTAAAGATTGGAAACAATCAAAATGTCCATCAATTGATGAAGGGATAAGTAATATCTGATATCTCCATGCAACAGAATCCTATTCAACAACAAAAAAGGAAAACAGTATTTATACAGTTCACATGAATGAACTCAAATACTTTATCTTAAGTGAAAGACTCCAGATGCAAAAGTCCTATATTGTGTGATTTTAAAAAATTATTTTCCCATAAGTTATTGAGGTACATACAGGTGGTATTGGGTTACATGAGTAAGTCCTTTAGCGGTTATTTGTGAGATTTTGGATATTTTGAAATACGGAATGTCCATAAAAGACGAATCTTAGAGGCAGAAAGCCAATCAATTCCTTCCTGAAACTGGGAAAAACAGCCAAGATTGAATAAAAACGGGCATGAGGGTTCTGATTTGCATAATAGAAATGTTCTAAAACTGGATTAATTTACTAAAATCATTAAAATGTACACTTACAATGAGTGAATTAGGTTGTGTGTAAGTGATACACTAAGAAAGTCCTCAAAAATACTGTTTTTATACCAGTGTGAATAGGAGGGCTTCTCTGGATCAAGAGACATTGCATTTTTCTTTCAAATAATAATAGTCATTACAGCATTAGTAACCATTGTATATTTAGCCTTTATTATCTACCATTCTATGAGATTCTTTAAATGTACAATCATATTGGTAACTCTATGAGAGAGGAAATAATAACCAGCATGGTACTGAGATACTGAGATTAAATAATTTGCTTAAAGATTCTTACCCAGGTAGCTTACCTCTTAAGTTCATGGACACAACCAATGTTTTCTATATTCTAGTAGCCTTTTTATAGCCTTTTACTGTGTGTGTGTGTGTGTGTGTGATGTGACATGACATAAAATTAGCATGGTGTGACATACATTAAATGGAATGTAATGCTTTATATATTTTTAGATTTCATAATCATTGGCTAAAAATACATATAATCACTGTTAAAATTATTCCTTTAGGATTAAAATTTTAACAACTATTTCAACTGCCAAATAATATTTTACTCTGTGTAAGATTCTAAAAGAAATGAAGTGAAAAGTCAGCCTTCTGACTTATTAATCACTTGAGAATAGTAGCAGGATTTTTTGTAGACTTTTCTTAGATTTTTAGTAAGCTATAATGATTTTATAAAATAAATCTCAAAGTAAGATAAAATTTAATGCAATATTTTCACATTTTCAACAATATGGAGCTTTAGCTTATACTCTAAAACTTGTAAGTATATTAAATCATTCTAAGCTTCATTTTGGTAACACAAATAAACCAGTTACAAAGAATATAGTTTTTTTCTCCTTGTTTAAAACATGAAAAATATGTCAGTTGCTGATACTCTGACTTTAAATTAGTAAGTGATGATAAAAATAATAATTAGTCATTAGAGCAATAATAATTGCCTATTAGAAGAGATGTATTGATGGCACAAGGTAAAATCAATTATTTATAATCAGTAAATTTTCATAGTGTGAAAGTTTTCTTACTGTGATTATCCAGTATAGGAATAAAGGTAAAATTTAGTGGAAAATCTTACCACGCCAATGGAAAAGTAATTATTGATGATACTGTAAGGCACTGGGTCTCCCTTCTCATCTTTGTCATTAGGTATGACTTCAAACTTCCACCTGTCCAACATGATTTCTGTGCTGTTTTCAATGTCTTTTAGAATTTTCATCAAATTCTCACCTTCATAACCTGACGGGAAAAAAAAAAATACCTTGAGAAAAGAACTCCAACCAAATAAAAAAGCTGTATTTTTATGTTTCCGTGTGTTTATGCATATGTAATATTCTAAAGATAAATAATGATTTTGAAGCACATTCTACAACAAAATGAAGAATTAATTATAACTTTATACTCATACCCATATTTAATTCTCAACTTTAATTTGTAACGCGTACTGTATTTCTCTTCTCTTTTGTGGTGCCAATTCTCAGCATATACAACTGCCAAGTGAACATTTCTACTGTATACCCCACAAAATTTTATATAAATAGATTCAAAATTGAATGAATTCTCTGCTTCCATATCTTCCTTATGTGCAGCTGACTTCGCAAAGACATCATTCTCTACCCAGTTGCAAAAGTCAAAAATGTGGATGTCATTTTAGACTTTTTCCTTTCCATCACTCTCTTACTCTCTCACCTTTTCACCTCTAGTGATATAAAACTTTCAATTTAGGTCAAAGGTCCTACTCTTTGTTTTAAAATTTTGTTTCTTATTCTATCTACTCAGGGTACCCCGTTTCTTTTTGGTTGGTTTGCATCTATTTCCTTGGCACGGCTTTATATTTGCTAATACTTCTTCCCAGTGCTGCTGCTTATGCCTGTAGTCTCAGCTACTCAGGAGGCTGAAGCGGGAGAACTACTTGAGGCCAGGAGTTCCAGGCTGCAGTGAGCTATGTTTGTACCACTGTATCCCAGTCTGGGTAACAGAGCAATATTCCATCTTTAAAATAATAAATTTAAATAAAATTAATAAATTTGCTAGCACTTCATTCTGGAAATCACCCTTTCAAAATAACGGCTCAGATGCCCCTCATGCAGTCCCCTACACACAGTTCTCAAAACTGGCCCTATCTTAGAACTAGTACACCACATTGCTGTTACTTGTGTTTTTCTCACTACAGGTTCCTCTTAAGCCTGCCATAGAGTAAATGCTCAACATATCAGTTTTTTAATGAATCTATGATAGATGGTCAACATGACCTGAAAATAAAAGTCTTGTCAATATTGCATTCTCAATATTCAATTTACCTGTAAGTATATAACATTATAGTTATCACTGCAGCCTAAACCTGACAGAGTTACTGTTTTTGTTTCTTAATCTCCCTCAACATTAGTTTCCTTCCCTGTCAAAACCTTAGGTTTCTTGTGAAGATTAAGCAAGATAATGTTTAAAAAGATCTCAGTACATGAGGCCTAAAACAGAAAATAGAAAGTTCTCAATATTATATTACTGATGATGATACCATCAGAATTTGAAATATTGTACTAAGTTAAATCATCTCTCTCTTCACCCATATAAAAGCACACATACAGTCCTAAAATGATATTTTGAGTTGGAACAATATTTTCAGTTTTTGCTTTTTTCTGTTCATTATTTAATTGTTGAACAAGGAAATGCCAGAGGCTATGAGTCCTCATTAGAACTATTAGCATACATATCATTGAATAAACTCATTGGGTTAAAAGAAAACAGGCACTCTCATATGCCAAAATTCCCTAAAGAGGAATACATTACACTTAAGGTGTATCTGTTCAATTAACTATTAGAAGGTGAAGGCCACCAGAAACTAGAAATACCTCTTCTGGAGCCCATCATCACTTCTTACCTTACACAGGTTTAAAAAGTAATTACGTGCTATTTAATACATACAGTAAAGGGTACAATAAGTAATGATTACATAAACATTGAAAACATTAAATATTATTTCAAAAGCTATCATATGTCTTATAGTATAATTTGAAGCTGTATTAATAATATGCATATAACTGTACTCAGTGGCAAAACACTGAATGGTTTAAACTGAAAGATTATGATAATTATATTTACTAATATTTCATGTTTCTTAATAGTGCTACCTTATTCTAAATGTTTAATTCATTTCTAATTGTTAATTTCTTTTAAGAAGTAATAGCTCCACAAATAAATTATATACATATATATTATTTTACCTACTGAATTAAATAAAAACACTTAAATATATTCATCTATTTTCCAAATTCTGCTTTCATTTCAGAATAAGCTTGATAGTTTTTAGACATAAATTAATTTGCATATAATAATATATATTATAATACAGGAGTATCGTGTGTGTATGTGTATAAATATACACAATTAGCAGAAATACAAGTAAATAATAATGCTTTAAGAAATGTTGAATTTGTTCTCAGTCATGTCTCAGGTTAATAGCAGCACTGTCCAACATAACACTGGAACAATGTAGGAACAGCAACCTAACCAGGAGAGAACATGAGAGGAATGAATGTAATGAAAATCAATTACCACAGCTAGATTGCAGCAGGGTCACTCAGCTTAAAATCTTTACCACTAGATATGAGTACAGGGATTTTTATGACTAAACATGAAAAAGGCTAGTTTAAATCTGTCTTCTAGCCAAGCAAAAGTAGAAAGAGGCAATAAATAAATCTTGAGAATTACAACATCTGCAATTCAGAAGTGATTCATATAGGTGAACTCTAAACTGCAGTCCCCCATTTAACAAATATCTTTTCCCTACTTCTTGTATGTATCTATGCTCAAGATTGTTAAATAATGATGTGTAACTATTAATAGGATTCCTATACCCAAGAAGATCATGATTTTTAAAAAGATAAATCAAATCCACTAAATATGCCAGCAAAAGATTTTTATAGAAAAGAACAATGCTATTTTACTTTTATTATTTTGATTTAAAGCCTGTAATCACTCCAGGCTAAGAAACAAAATGAAAACATAATTAATATTTATTTTATATTTAATGATATGATGTTATAATGACTGAATCTAAAAAGTCATAGAAATTGTTGCAAATGAAAATCACATAAAGAAATGCAACAACAAATTTGTATTAAAGTGTGTCCCATTTACAACTACTACTTACCTCCTCAGTTTACACTAACAAGATTTTCCTTGCCATTAAATTGTTGTTAAGAGAGACTAATGATTGCCAGAAATTTACAAAAATAATGCTAATTAAGCTAGGATATCCTATAGACTTACAGTGTCAACTTTTCCAAAATATGAAAATATATGCTTATAAAAAAGAGGATTCAAGTCAAAAGATTCCCTGAATCTTAAGTGAACCAAATGATTAATGGTGGAATGAAGTACTTTCTTCTACAAATACTAAGCATAATAATAATTACTGCAACTGCATAAAGTTCTTAACACAAACATTGATATGGTTTGGCTCTGTGTCTCCACTCGAATCTCATTTTTAGTTGTAATCCCCATAATCCCCATGTGTCAAGGGAAGGACCTGGGGGGAGGTGATTAGATCATGAGGGTGGTTTCCTCCATGCAGTTCTGGTGGTAGTGAGTGAGTTCTCATGAGATCTGATGGTTTTATAAGGGACTATTTCCCCTTTGCTCATTTGCTTCTCTCACCTGCTGTCATGTAAAACATACCTTGGCTTCTCCTTCACCTTCATGAATGTAAGTTTCCTGAGGCCTCCCCAGTCATTTGGAAGTGTGAGTCAATTAAAACTTTCTTTATAAATTAACCAGTCTTGGGTATGTCTTTATAGCAGTGTGAGAACAAATTAATACAAACACTGTGCAAACAATTTATCAGTTTAGCACAAGAACCTACAAGGTACGCACTATTATTTTCTTCGATGAGGAATCTACAGCCAGTTTTTAAGTAATGTGCTCAAAGTTACACATCTGTCAAGAAATAATCCCACTGTAAAGCATATTTCTTTGTTAATAATCTCTAGCAAATGGCATCTTCATTTCCCTAATTGCTAAACTTGGGCATCTTGATACCTTGCTTTCCCTAAAACTCCTAACCAATCCACTGGTAAGTACAATTAAACTGAGCCTGAATATGTACCTCCAGTTTGTCTACTTGCCTGATTTACATCATGCAAGCTCTAGTCTACTCACTTTATTATGTAATTAGAACAGCTATAATAGAAGTTCTCATTTGGAGAACTATAGTTCTGCATGTTTTCACATTTTCTGACCAGTTTATTTTCTACCCCCAAATTAATCTGTTTTGAAAATGTGTCAGTGTGTTACTCTGCTTCTGAGACTTTCAAAGCTTAACTTTGCATGCCAAATTCAATCAAATAAAACCCTTAGAACAACAAACAAATTCCTGCATTATCTGGCTCCCAATTATCTTTCCAAAGTCATAATACTCACCACCCCTAATTGCCCACCACTGCATTGCTTCTTCAGCAACCCCACCTGCATTCCTCCCTTCAGTCCTTGAAACACAGAGAGCTATTTCTCCTCCTTCTTATATTTTAGGTCCAGCTTAAATGTTACCTCCTCAGAGAGACCTTCTTTCCCATCTAGCTAGATAGTTCATCCTATTATTCATTCTTCTGATTCCTTGATATCATTTTATAACTATATATTTCATTATTGTTTGATTTATTGTCCATTATACTCAATGAAAATGTAATCTCTAGAAGGATAGAAGCCACTTGTTTATTTCCTCACTGTATATTTAGTACCTAGAACAGTGCCAACACATATCAGACACTCACAGAGAATTCAACACTAATAGATACTTTGACACATGTCCTTGCCTTTATCCATTGTTAGTACTTTGTATGCGGTTTCACAAGAATGATTAGAGCATGCCAAAAACGGACTTCTTTATCAAATTTGACATTTAGGCCATTTGTTAATTTGGAAACAAAAATCAAATTACTAATTTTCATATACATCAAATATATGTTACCGAAGATTATGGCAAGAAGACACACATATTTTCTTTCTTTTCAATCAATGCACTTGTATGAACACTGGCAAATACAAGTATCTTATCAGAAATGGTGACGTCTTTATTCATTTCTTTAGATTTCATGAACTCTAATGCAACTCATGAAAATACTCAAGTATATTCTTACTGAAAATCCCAAATAGATTACATACTAAGTTCTTGATTTAGTCAAGCATGTACACAGCTTAGAGCTAGTTGGTCAGATATTCATGGAATTGTTCTCCAACTTTGCTGTAAATCAGAGTTACTTAGGGACTTCGTTTAAAAAAAAAAAAATCATCTGCTCAGTTCCCAACTCCAGATATTTCCATTCAGCACGTCTGGGGTGGGGTCAGGCCATTGTATTTTTAACAAGCTCTCAAGGGACTCTGTTCACCTTGTCTTAGTAGACACTTTTCAAACTTCTCTAAATGAGCTTTGATGCTAAAAATATTTAGCATTCAAGTCCTGTTTCTTTACCAAAGTCTGGTGGTGTTTAGTGATCTTATCTGGTGGTGTTCAGTGATCTTCAGATAAATATAGCCTATTAGTGACTCTGCAAAATGTTTTAAGACCTCATCTCAAAATATTCTCTCTTGCTTACCCTACTCCATCCACGCTATTTCAGTTTCAGTTTCTTGAATACGTCAAGTGCCTTGCCACCTTTGGCCTTTTGAACTCGATGTTCCCTCTGCCTATGAAGTTCACACCCAGCTTTACATGGCTGTGTCATTATCTAGCTAGTAGGTTTTTTTTTTTTTTCTATGTCATATCCTCAGTGATGTCTTTCCTTACAATGATCATCTGTTTACTTGTTAGTGTAAAGTCTCACATATGATTTTATGTGCCACTAAAAGTTAAGGTATTTTTGTTTTTATTTTGTCAACTCTGTATCCAAAGTGCAGAGCACAGCTGGCTAGCATAGAGTGAGTCTTAAAAACTGAGTATTACTTAATGTATTCACTCCTGGGAAACTAATTTGTTAAGCCTTTCATTTTTCCTTTGTGATTTTACCACCAAACTTATACATTAAAAATATAAAAATTAAGTGCATCCATATGTACCTTATTTTCTAACAAAAAAACAAAACAAAAAATAAAAACAGAAAATAAAAAAACAAAAACAAAAACCAGAGATGTTTGGAAACTTGCACTCGTCTAGTTTAAGTCTGTAATTAATACCACATTAAAACCCAATACCCATGGTCTCTTTGACCACTATTTGTTCTTCTATCCAAGACTATTGCTCAAAATGATAAAATAAAAAAAACAAAACCGGTAAAATCAACGAAAACAAAAGGGTTTTAGTTCCTTGGTTTTTTTTTTTCTTTTTGTTTTGCAAGGGAAAAGGGTGTTGTGTACTGTTTCTGCTTTTGTTGTTGCAGCTGCTTTACCTCCTCCCCATCGCAGGCATCTTGCTAGATCATTGCCAGTCCCAAGAGGCAGAATTGCAACTGGAGGATGCTTGCCTACATTGGCCTTTTCTGCAGAATAAAAAAAAATACAAATAAAGAAAATTTCAAATTCAAATAAAACAATGGAAATAGAAAGATAGGCTGATGACATTAAATGAAGGAATTTCAATAGGTACTCATAAACAAAACATAATTGTATTTTTAAGATATATACCATAATGAATTATGGATAATTTGTAAACATTTGTAGCAATTGATAAAACACAAATACTATTATTCACAGAACGATGGAATTTTCAAAACTCAGGCAAGAGGAAAGCTTTTTAAATATCTTAACTGAACTAAAAATTGTTGTGTGTCTTGTCTCAATTACAATCCTTAGGGATATTATTATATACAGCATAAGATTACAATACAGAGACACAACTAGGATGGATGTGTAGGTTCCTATATAAAGTCCTTTTGCAACATCAATTCCAGGTACATTTTACTTAGAGGAATAAAATATTTGCAAACTGTTGAATTATAGAAGTGAGTAAATTGCTAACAATGTCCTTGACTTTTTCCCACCCATGGTGCTGCTTTGTGTCAGAGCAAACGGAACACAACGTTAACAGCTGGAGTACACCGAGATCAGCAGGTTTTCCATGAGATTAATCTTTAGATCACATAATGCTTTGGGTTCAGAGCAGTAAAGATCTCTGCCGCTGACATCCCATATGCTTTGGCTTGAATCATCGCATGCCTTGAATTAATCTCACAAATGTATATTACTTTCTTTTATTTTTTCTTCCTCCTTAGCCCCTCAAAATCAATGTATGTATGTGTGTAGGATAGAGGGGCTAGATAATGTAGGGACATGTCACAATGAAATAGCCAACGACAAGATTTTGAGGGCTAAAACAAGCTAAGAATTCCTGCTATTTTTCCTCTAAAATCCTTACAAGTCCTCAGATACTTTTCCAACTAACGCATTAACTTTTGTAGTTCTTGAATTCTGTTGTCTTCTCAGATAAAACATGTAAATACCATCTACATTGTTTAATGGAAGGCCAGATCAGAATTTCCACTGTTGCTTTTTAAATCAAATATTAGTAGATTAAAGCTGTTAGATCCTTATCAAAAGTGTTGCCAACATGTATTTATTTTTAATTTGAATATTTTTAGCATATGCAAAGACAGAATGTTATCTGCATTGACTAAATAGGTGTCTGTTTCAATTTATACAGAAGGCAAAACTTCTTTTGAATCAATTCGTTCTATGAAAGGGCCTGTTTTAAACAAAGAATTGATCAATGCAGTAACTGAAATGAGACCAAAGAGAGTCAATATTTGTTTTGGATTTATTTCCTCATAAAGGCCTATTCATGATCTCTTCTTCTAACTAGTAACCAGTTCTGACAACTGACTATATCTGAAAAACCAAATAATTTTCCTGAATTTATAGTTTTTCTTGTGCTGCATACTTATCTTACATTGTCAGTGATGTTCTTGTGTTGTTTGCTTGTAAAAATCGAGCTTTTTCAACTTAAATAGAGAGGCAACATAGAATAAGGTTTAACTGTGGGTTCTAATCTCAGCTCTCTCAGTTCACAACTATAAGACTTTGTTGTAGTTATTTACTTTTACCAAGTTTTAGGTTCCCTATCTCTACATGGGATTATTAATACTATCTGTGTCATAGAGTTGTGAGGAATAAACAAGACAACATGATGAATAAAAATTAGCTATGATGATGATGATGGTGGATGATAACGATATGAATGTATACAGAGGGTAAGATTTTGAGGGTCCATGTTTTAATAATGTAAGAACATTAATTTGGCACAGACTTTATCACAAATACTAAGACTGCTCCTTCAGTTCCTTGTCTGGGGCACACAAACAATCTGATTTCCTAGAGCCGTATTTGAAAACAACTCTGAAAATTTGGTAAACACTGTAAGAAGTGGATTAGAAAGGAAGGATTTCTAGATACTTGTAAACTATTTTGCCAGTTAAATTTTTGAACTATAGAATAATATGTTAAACCAGTAAATAGTGTACAAACCTCCAGATGTCCAATTATATCACTGCTTCCAAAGATAATGATACAAGCAATAGATACATAGATGAAACAGGATTTAAAGCTATTGCTCTCTCCCTAGTCATGTTAAGTATGTGTCTGCATTACCTATGCAATCCAAAACCCAGCCCACGGTTCCGTCTCCACCACAGGCTAACACTCTGAAGTCAGGGACATCACGGAAAAAGTTTAACCTGAAAAATAAGCATGTTATGGCACATGATTAATAGTTTAAAAATAAGATATTTTCAGTTTTGTATCATTAGCATTTTACCTGATGAAATACATTTTTATTTTATAAAAACTAAAATATCTCAATCATAACTTACATAGCTTTAATCCTATTTTATAATTATATATTCAGGATTCTATAATTTAAAAATATTTTGTAATTATATATTCTAGATTCCATAATGAATATACTCTATTTTTCTTTAATAAACTCTAAAATTTTAAGAATAAAATTAGCAAATCATAATAATTTTCATTAAGATATTCTCCTAGATGTGATTTGCAGTTCACATAACCCAGAATGACATATACTACATTATTTCACTTAATAAATTTCTTCAATCCAAAATTATCTTTTGAGTGAATATATAAATGTGACAGTTATGTCAGTAAATATGTCTTTAACAATTTTGTACTTTCTCCATTACTGGGAGAAATTGATCAGACTGCAACTGGGGTTCTAGCCAACTTTTCTTTTGACTGAGAATCTGCAAGTAGGAGTCAGGCTTCACCTTGTATTTTGACCTGGCTGACAGCGTTTTCCATCCAGGAACACTCCAGCCTAATTGCTGGGTCAGCTGCCATAAATACCCACTGCTTCTGCTGTTACTGCATGCAGTGTGCTTAATAATGCAACCTACCTTGTGAAAAGCAACAAAGGCAGGTAATGTAGCCAGCTATACAGTCATAGCCTACTGTATTGCAATAAAAAATTGAAACAGGACAGAAATTTTGGTATGTGTCCCTTCACCTCCCTTGTCCCAAAGATAACAACTGACAGTGATATAATATGCAACTATCCAAGGAATTTTTCTACGTACTTATATATACAAATATTCATACATGTCTGTATTACACATATATGTTCAACACGAATAAAATTGTGCTATACATACTGTTCATTAACTTGTGTGGTTTTATTTTAACTTCAAATATGTCTTAGAGAACTTTGTGTATCAGTGTATAACATATGCAGATGTCACGTGTGGCATTCTGTCAGATTATTATTTTTAAGCACTGCATCATGTTTTGTAATAAGTGCACACACTACAAGATACAATAAATGATTTCTTTTTATGAATTTTTTAAGCTTTTTCTGGTGTCTCATTATTACAAAAAAGTGTTGTATTTAACATTATTTGAAGAACATTTGTGTAAACGTGTGCATGTGTTTTGAAGGCCACTCTAGAGAAAAATATTCCATTACATCATTATATCCCTCTGAATGGCTCCCACTGTCAAATACGCAAGGGTCCATTTCTTTGCAACCACAAAACACTACATATGAACAACTTTATGATATTTCTGTAATAATGAGTGAAAACCAATGTCTTTTTATTTGTTGTAAAATCACACTTCCCTGTTTACTAGTGAGTTGAACATATTTTTATACATTTCCTGGAGATGTGTAACCTCTCCTATGCAAAGAACATTCAAAGATGCACCTTTCTTTCTATTGAATTGTCTTTTTATTTTTTATTTTTATTTTTTGAGATGGAGTTTTGCTTTTGTTGCCCAGTATGGAGTGCAATGGTGCAATCTCGACTCACTGCAACCTCCTTCTCCTGGGTTCAAGCAATTCTCCTGCCTCAGCCTCCCAAGTAAGCTGGGATTACAGGTGCCCGCCACCACGCCTGGCTAATTTTTGTATTTTCAGAAGAGACAGGGTTTCACCATGTTGGCCAGGCTGGTCTCAAACTGTTGACCTCAGGTGATCCATTCTCCTCGGCCTCCCAAAGTGCTGGGATTACAGGTGTGAGCCACTGCGCTGGGCGAGTTGTCTTTTAATAATACTTCACAAACTCTTTGCATATTATAGCAATCTTTGCATTTAAATTTGCATCATTTAAAAAAGTTTTGTCAAGGTAATACCAACACTGCATAAATATAATATAATATGTATAAAAATTACTAAAACCAATCATCTGATTATAATATCCATGGATATTTAGAACAGGAAACTTTCATGCATTTTCTCATTTATTATATTGCGGATATTTAACCTTTGTGAGACATGTTGCAAATATTTTCTTCGGTTCTAATGCTTATTGTTTTGCTTATACTAATATATGTACAATAGAATAAACACATATGTACCAGTTGCCCATTCCAGGAGGTAGAACATTTCCAATAATTTACATATTTCTCTGTTTTCTTTCCCTATAGCACTGCTCTTTCCAATTTACAAAGGTGAGCGCTATTCTGAATACTGAGTTACCATGTGTCTGACATGATCGGTATGTGTCTTTCTACTTTTCCCAGTTAGCACTGGTACTCAGATTCATTTATGTTGTAGCTGAAGCTTTTTCCACATGTAGCTGAAGTTCTTTTAACTCCTACTGCTGTGTTAAATACCACTTATATGTCTTTTAAAATCCATGTCAATGGGCATTTCAATTGGTTTGCTTTACATTCTTGCAAAAAGTGCATTCTTGTACAGGCATACCTCATTTCATTGCTCTTTACTTTATTGAGCTTAGCAGATACCGCAGTTTTTACAACTTGAATGTGGCAACTCTGCTTCTAGCAAGTCTATCAGTGCCATTTTTTTCCAACAGCACATGATCACTTGGTGTCTGTGTCACATTTTTGTAAGTATCACAATATTTCAAACTTTTTCATTATTATTACATCTGTTATGGTGATCTGTGAAGTTATTATAGTAATTGTTTTGAGGTGCCATGAACCACGCCCATATAAGACAGAGAACTTAATCGCTAATATTGTGTGTGTTCTAACTGCTCCACCCACCAGCCATTCTCCTGTTTCTCTTCCTGTCCTCAGGCCTCTCAATTCCCTTAGACACAACAGTATTGAAATTAGGCTAATTAACAACCCTACAATGTCCTCTAAGTGTTCAAGTGAAACAAAGAGTTGCATTTCTCTTTCAATCAAAAGCTAGAAATTATTAAGCTGAATGAGGAAAGCATGTCAAAAGCATAGGCAGGCCAAAAGCTAGCCCTTTTGTGCCTGTAAGCTAAGTTGTAAAAGCAAAGGCAAAGTTCTTGAAGGAAATTAAAAGTGCTACTGCAGTGAATACACAAACAAGAAGGCGAAACATCCTTACTGCTGATATGGAGAAGGTTTTAGTGGTCTAGACAGAAGATCGAAGGAGCCACAACATTCCCTTAAGCTAAAGACAAATCCAGAGCAAGCTCCTAACTCTATTCAATTCTATGAAGGCTGAAAGATGTGAGGAAGCTGAAAAATAGTTTGATGCAAGCACATGTTGGTTCCTGAAGCTTAAGGAAAGAAGCTGCATAAACAGCAAATGCTGAGGAAGAAGTGGTAGCAAATTATCCAGAAGATCTAGCTACAATTATTGATAAAGGTGGTACACTAAACAACAATTTTTCAGTGTAGACAACATAGCCTTCTAATGGAAGAAGATGCCATCTAGGACTTTGATAACTACAAAGGAGAAGTCAATGCCTGGCCTCAAAGCTTCAAAGAACAGGCTGACTCTCTTGTTAGAGTCTAATGAAGCTGATGACTTTAAGTTGAAGCCAATGCTTCATTCTGAAAATCCTAGGGCCCTTAAGAATTATGCTACTCTACCTGTGCACTATAAATGGTAGAACAAAGCCTGAGCGACAGCACATTTCTTTACAGCATGGTTTACTGAGTATTTCAAGTCCACAATTGAGACACACTTCTCAAAAAAAAAAAAAAAAAAAGATTCCTTTCAAAATGTTATTTTCATTGACAATGTACCTGGTCACCCAATATTCTGAGGGAGATGTGCAAACAGATGAATGTTGTTTTCATGCCTGCAAACAAAGCATACATTCTGCAGCTCATTGATCAAGGAGTAATTCAACTTTCAAGTCTTATTTAAGAAATACATTTCATATGGCTATAGGTGCCATAGACAGTGATTCCTTTTGGGGATCTGGGCAAAGTAAATTGACAACCACTGAAAAGGATTTAATAATCTAGGTGTCATTAAGAACATTCATAATTCATGGACAGAGGTCAAAATATCAGCATTAACAAGAGTTTGGAAGAAGTTGATGCTAAGCCTCATGGATGACTTTAAAGGGTTCAGGACTTCAGTGGAGGAAGTCACTGCAGATGTCATAAAAATAGCAAGAAGTAGAATTATAAGTGGAGCCTGCATGTGACTGAATTGCCAAAATCTCATCATAGAATTTGAAAGGATGAGGAATTGATTCTTAGAGATAAGCAAAAAAAGGGGGTTTCTTGAGATGGAATCTACTCCTGGTAAAGATGCTGTGAACACTGTTGAAATGGTAACAAAGGATTTAGATTATTACATAAATTTAATTGATAAAACAGCAGTAGGATTTGAGAAGACTGATTTAAATTCTGGAAGAAGTTCTACTGTGTGTAACATGCTAGCAAATAGCATCACATGCTAGAGAGAAATCTTTTATAAAAGTAAGAGTTCATCAATGGGTCAAATTTCATTGTTGTCTTATTTTAAGAAACTACTAGAGTCACATCGCCTTCAGCAACCACCATTCTGATCATTTGGTTCCCATTAACATCAAGGCTAGACCCTCTACCAGAGAAAACATTATGACTCCCTGGAAGCTCAGATGATTGTTACTATTTTTTTGCAATGAATTATTTTTAAGTTAAGGTATATACATTTTTAAATCATAATGCTATTGCAAATTTAATAGACAACAGTATAAACATAACTTTTATATGTACCGGGAAACCAAAAAATTTGTGATATTCACTTTATTGTGGTGGTGTGGAACCAAACTCACAATATCTCCAAGGTATGCCTGTACATACTTCTTAGTGCTTAAGGGCAGTGGCCACTTTAGAGTAATGCATATTAATATGCAACTTCACCAGATAAGGTCAATGTTTTTCACAAAAAAGTTGCACCAATGTACAATGGATGTGCTCTATTAAATCCATTCTCTTTAACACTTGTCACACTTTTTCATTTTATTTATTTCTTACTTTCATGAAATGCCTATTTATC